GCTCTTCCAAATAAAAGTATAGGGAAAATACTGATAAAGTACTCCCGTACGCTCCTGTACCCCGACACGTAATAGTGTCAAAAGGAAGAACTAATGGATGAACACATAGTTCAAAAACACCTAATGAACATATAGTTCAAGAACACTTTATGAACATATAGTTCAAACATACGTACTGATTACAAGTCTACTAACGTTCCACTGGACTATCTAAAATAGTCTGTGGACGTTGTCTATACTCTGCTAGATGACTAGATCATCTTAAACATCGATACCTCTCATCACTTTTATTTCATCACACATCATCTAATTCATCTACCCATGTTTTACCCAACATATTTGTAGATAAAAATATATATACAATTTAAAACTTGTATAAAACATCTATTTAACAGTCACCTTAATTAAATAATCAATAGAATTACACATAGCATGTATTTTAAAGAAAATACTTCATATATATGTGTAAGGTGAAAGTAACCACACACTCACCTGATTTAATGAAAATCAGGCAGCAATTCGTTTCCTAAAACGATCGTTTCTAATAAAACCGGGAGTTTTATTGAGAAACCGGGCTCTGCGAGGGTCGGGCTTCGAAACCGAAAAGATAAATTTTTCGGGCTTCTCGGGCACTTCGTGGCGTATTCTTGGGCTTTGGAATAAGTACCGGGGCTTCGGGGGAAGTCGGGATAGTAAAAATATGGAAAAGGGGGTCGAAAATGGCAAAATCCCATTTTTACCCGGGAGGGTTCGCAAGGCTCCTATTTATAGGAGTGGGATCCGAAGGTCGGCTAAGGAGGTGGCGTCCGCAGGCGAGGGTGCGCAGGTGCTCGCACATGGGCTGCGCGTGCGAGGGCCTCGCTGGAGGCTTCTGATTGGACCGCTTCGGACAGCTTCCTCGGTTCGGACACGTTGCTGATGACACACCGAGATCGGACACGGGGCAGCCTCCTATTGGACCGAACCTCGGACTCGCGAAGAGCATGACACGCCTCGCCAGGTGGCTTCGGTGACTCAGCAGGTTCCGGACACGCGTCGGATTGCGAAGCGAGGACACGTGGCCGAAGTCCACGTGTGCAAAAATTCCCGGTTTTGGCATTATTCCTCGATTTTCGCGCCAAAACTTCTAAAATCCATAACTTTCGCATACGAGCTCCGTTTTTGACGTTCTTTATATGCACGCGTAGGTAAAATTACGCTCTACAACTTTCGTTTAGACTTCGTCGGCTAATTTTGACTTTAATTTTTATATTATTATTTTTAACAGACCGGGATAGGAAATCCGTTAAAAATTCATAACTTCTTCATCCGACGTCCGTTTTCGTTTGTCTTTTTACCATTGTGCTACTATTCACGAGACCTTGATTCTCGTTTAGGTCGTGTCGGCTAAAAATCACTCGATCTAAAATTCGAGTTTTTAGCTGTCTACTGCTAAGCTGAAACTTCGAAAAATCATAACTTCCTCATACGAAGTCAGATTTGGACGTTCTTTTTATACCTACTCTCGGTTTAACGAACACTACAAGTCTCGTTTAGATCACTAAGGCTAAAAAGTAGTTTATCAGAAACTCACTTTTTACGACATTCGGCACCGTGCCGGTTTATCGTGAAACTTCGACAGGTCATAACTTCTTCGTTATAACTCGGATTTCGGCATTCTTTATATATCCGTAATCCTTGTCACGCCCACTTCATGTTTCTTAATAGATATCAGTTTTATCTAATATTTAATTTTGACGCTCATTTTTATTCTTAATTAATTAAACCCTAATAATTAAGCATAAAACACACATAATTCACATAATATTCACATAATTCCTTTTCATTTCTTCTAAATGAGTTACAAAGGTTAACCTAGACCATTATGTCAATATTAATGTCTAGCCTAGAAACACGGGCGTTACATTTCTGGCCGACCCTCCATATATTTCAGCATCATTAAATCATTTTTTAAATTTAATAATTCGACCCTCCATATATTTCAGCATCGTCAAATCATTTTTTAAATTTAATAATTTTTTACTATGCTTAATATATTTTATGGATGGACTTAGGTAACTTCATTTAGGTTTAAATCTGATACAAATATATAAGGGATGTTATCCGGATTGAAAACCAAAAACCGAATAAGACTATTTGAAATAAACGAAGTCGAACAGATCAAATTAATACAGGTCCGGTTTGGTTCGGGTGGTAATCGGTTCGATTTGGTTCTTACTCGAATAAACCGAATAATATTTACAATATAATTAAGAACCCAACAGACACGAAAAAATCTGATTAACCCGAATAAACCCGAATAACATTTTACATTTACAAATTATAGTTATATTGAAAAAATATGCATTCACAAGAAAATTATTTATATGAAAAACAGACAAGTGATAAAGTTATATTGAAAAAATATCAAAATTTAAATAACAAAATTAAAAATAATTGTGTCTATGTGAAAAACTTAATAACATTTAATAAAATGTTTGAGACTTGAGCACAAGGGTCATGAAATGGTCAATGGTGTACACTGTTGGTAGTGATACTTGAACAAATAAAACATAATTTGTTTTGCTATATTTTGGTTTGATTTTTTAACACATTCATTGTTTATCACATCTTCCAAAGCTTTCGCTACATCATCGTCTTTCAAAATTTCATCAATGTTGTCCACAATTGACTTTCTTGATTTTTTTTACCCAATTTTGGATGCAATTAAAAAATAACTTTAACAAAGTTTTTTTTTTTTCGTCATGCTTCCAAGTGTCAATACTATTATCTCTATTTTTTTTTTCTTTTTTTTTTGAAATTGAAAGTGATTTGGTTTTTTAATTTTTTTTCTAAATTTTTTGGGTTCTTTTTACATCTTTGCGCATGTCTAATCATACCTGAACTATCGTTTTAGCCGGATTCGGTTTGAGCAACATGTCACACCTTTTTCATTTGCTATGTTTAATGTCGTCAATATGAACTTCTTCATTGTAACATCTCATTTTCACAACCAATTTTTTCATTTTTATTTAAGATAAAACACCATTTTCATAAAACCAACTTAAGAAAACTTATTTGTTCCAAAATACAATTGTTTGAAAATCAGAGTAATATAATAAATATGGAATCTCCAATGTTGCTAATGAGTGTGTACAATCACACATTCGTCTTCCCACGATCACCAATAGTACCTGAAAAGAATATTTAATCCACAACTATAAGCCAAAGCTTAGTGAGTTCCCCCAAAATACCACATACCACAATACACATACAATGCATGCACACACAAAAGCCTTTAGTCTGAGTGGACCGCCTCTCGAGGCCAATGTTGTATTGTGTCGTGTTCGTGTTCAAATTTTAACAAAAAAATTAACACGATACGACATGAAAATAAAACTCAATAAACACGACATATAATGATTTGTACAAGATGTATACTCAATTAAATATTGCCCATAAAATATTTTAAATTTAAATAAAAAAAATTATTTCACTTGACACAAACCATGACACTTCTTCAAATTTCCTTATAATTCCAACGCCAAACACACATGGAACTTCAATCGACATGTATTTATATTTCTTATAATTCTAATAAGTGGGGTTTGTGACTTATAATATGTAACCACTCCTTCAAATAAACAAATAAGGATATGCTCCCTCAATCGTTGCATTTTAATGGAGTCAATGGACCCATATATTTCATAAAGACATTTGATGGACATAATTGGGGTTTTAGCCTCTTTAGACTTCAAAATTAAGCTAAATAGAAACACCACAAGTTCTGGAAGTTGTAGAAACTTAAACTAAACATTTAAAAAAAAATTGTACAGTATCCATGATTTTTTGAGGGGTAGCACATGCCACCCCTGCTGGGTATATAATATGAGAAATGTTATTGATTGTCGGAGCAGAGGAAAAGACCGTGTTGGTTGTCTTTGTTGATCTTTGTAAGAGAAGAAGAATCAAATGTATAGTGCTAAGCACAACTTAGGCTTATAATGCATGACTTATGGTGCACGACTTATATTGCGCTGCTTATGAGTGGGCTTAGCGGCCATCAATCATGAAAGTGTCACGCAGGAGAGCATCGCGTGAAACAAATCGAGCATCATGCGGTAGAGTATCGCATGGAAATGGATTGGGCTTAGCAGCTAACGATTGTGAATACGTCAATGGAATAACATCGCGTAAAAATGGATCGGACCTAACAACCAGCGATCGTGAATACAAAGTGAGAAATTCTTCTACCTTAAACTATTTATAAACAATTTTACAAATATACAACTTCTTTTGAATTGAAAAAAATAATAACAAATGTGACATGATCATATACAAAGTGAGAATATACAAGTAGACATTCATGATATCAATGCTTAAAACATTATCATCCGTTCCACCTTCACCCTTAAAAAATGTTTTTAATATATATATATATATATATATATATATATATATATATATATATATATATATATTTCATTTAAACGTATTTATATGTATTATTAACAATATTAATAAAAACAAATTTAAAAAACAGTATATTTATTTATATTTTTAATAAAATAATAATAATAATAATAATAATAATAATAATAATAAGGTTTTTGTTTGCAGAAAATTCATAATATTTTTGTTTGTAGAAAAGTCTCAAAATTTTAGGTTAGTTTACGAAATAATACCAAATTAATTTGTTACCAGTTCCAACCGGTCAAAAATAGCAAAATACAAACTTTTACTGGTTTTTAAGACTTTTTCGTAAACAAAAATTAATTTAGAACTAAAATGTAAACGGAAACAAAATTTTAAGACCTGAAGATTTCCTATCTTTTAAAACCAAAGTTTAAACGATATACAGATAACATTATCCCGTTAGAAAGACCTAATTCCACTTTTGTCTCGAAAATTCATTAACCTACCGGTGATCGTAGTAGCCTTCCATAGCAATCTATATTTGACTTGTCGGTAACGGAAATCAGCGATTTTCCGACGAACAGGGCGGTTCAGGTGGTGGTCGTATGGCAGAGTTGGAAGTGATGTTCGACGGCTCTTCACTTCCAAAACAAAAGAGTGTGGAATCAGTTTCATCATCAGTGTTTGATAAGCTCACCGACGAGCTCTTAATCGAAACCCTAATTCGTCTCCCTATAAAGCCAGCCAATTTCTGTAAGTGCGTCTCAATACGCTTTCGCTCTTTGATTTCCACTTCATATTTCGTACGTTGTTATTTGAATCATCATCAAATCAACAATTCTTTTGCTCTTTATTATCAATCGAAACCTACGTTCCATAACATGATTCGTCCTTCCTTAATGGGCATCGATATTGCTTTCGGATTCCCCATTTTCGAATCTCCAGGGTTTTCTTTATCTTTTCTTGCTTCTGATTCTGAACAACAAAACCAAGAAACTTTTCAGTACCTAGCTTCAAACAACGGATTAGTTTTATGCTGTGCTGCTATGCGTCGCCCAATTGTTTACTTTGTTTGTAATCCGTTAACAAAGCAATGGATTTCTCTTCCTCCCCCTCCTAGTAATGTTAAAACAGTTTACACTGGGTTTATATGTAATCCCCAATATTCATTTAATGATGATAGGAAAACAAGCTTCAAAGTGGTTCGAATTGAAGTAGTTAAGTGTGAGTCACCTATGCAACTCTCAGGTACATTGAAATTGGAAATCTTTTGTTCGATATTAGGGAAATGGACTGAGGAGTATTTCATGTCTAGTTCGACTTCAGATCATGAATTGTTCTATGGATGGAATTACAGGTGTCCTAGTGCTGTAGTTTGTGATGGATTACTTCATTGGGATACTCTTTCAAACTGTGGTATTTTCACTTATGATCCTTATAATGGTGAATGTAGAACCATTGAGCTTCCACATGAGATAAGAAAGCCGTTATGGGCTCTTAAATATTGCTTAGGGGAGTCTGCTGGTTGTCTTAGATATGCTAATTTTTCATGGGATGATACGAATTACAGAGTGTGGGAACTCAAGAATGGTGGTGAGTGGTTGTTGTTGCATAAAGTTCACTTGGATGAAATGAAATCCACAGTTGAAACAATTAACAAGGATTGCATGGGTTTGCTTTCACCTCATCCACTTGATCAAGATATTGTTTTCTTTTGGTGTCGATCCTCGTGTAGAATTGTTGAATACAACATGAGGAACAAGATTTTGAAGTTACCATGTTTTCTTCGAGATGTGAAGATTATTAGTCTTTTGAGCCCTATGTTCTTCCCATTTGTGCTTCCTTGTTGGCCTACCACAGTTCCACTTATCCAACAACATGGCCTAAGCTAATAGATCCATTATTCAGTATGTGTAAATGTAATACCTCTTATTTATTATTTTATACCTACAAGTCTATGTTTTCCACTTTTGATCTTATTAGGACTTAAACGTCTCTTGAGAAACTTTCAGTGCACATATTAATCCGCTTAAAATTGTGTTATTCACACGGTGTATTAGAGGGCTAAAAGTGCAGGAAAAAAAACCCGTCTCTTCAAAGGTGTTTCAACATGTATTTTACACACAAAAGGGGTTCAATAAGTTTGGGTGATAGTGGATGAAGGAATCAAGGCTACAATACTGGTGATAATTAAAGAGATTTCATTTCATATGCTCCTTTAAATCAGTGTAAGTTTCATTTTTTTTAAAAAAGAAAAAAAATTCAAAAGAAGCTTTCACTGAAGCATTGCATCAAACGCTTCATGTGCATGTCAAACTGTAAAAATGTTGAAAAGGTAAATCGTGTACTGATAAACTAAATGGAGTTGGAAGTTCTTACAAACCGAAGAAAAAACACAACACATAATTTCTATATGATTTGATTTGATGTAATTTCTATCAGGAGGAATGGAATGAACAAAAGAGGGTCTTGCAGAGAATGAAAAAGCATGGGGTTAGAGGGAATGAGATTCACGGAGTAATGAAACATTCATTTGAATGATTATTTGCCTAAATTTCGAGCAAATCTTAAATATTTTGATCCTTGATTTGGCGGATAACCATACCCTGATCTTTCTGCTTTCACTTCTTTGATATGCCAAGATTATCGGTCTTTTGAACCCTATGTTCTTCCTATTTATGCGACGTTCCTCTCATCCAACAACATGGCCTAAGCTTGTAGATAAAATGTTTGGTATGCATAAGCTCGTTGCTTGTTTTGTTACAACAACACATTGTATAATAATGATCATTGATATGAATTCTGGTGTCGTTCATTTGTATTCCTTCTATCTTACTATTTTAAATTTTCTATTAGATTCACACGATTGTTCTATTAAATCACATCAATGGCCAATTTCATGATAACATTCATATGTTTACTAGTATCACCCCTAATATATATATATATATATATATATATATATATATATATATATATATATATATATATATATATATATATATATATATATATATATAGCTTGTTTTTCTTGTTAAAATCCAAATATTTATGAAGAGTAGCCAAATTTAGTAGACGCATCAAGTTGAAGGATGTTAGGAAATGGAATGTGTGTTGGACATAAAATATATTAGAACTACTTTTACCTATACAAGTAACAAGATTGCAAACGTAACAAACTTTCAACAACGCCACACGAAAACACATGTATGTCGTGTGTATATTTAAGGTGAAGTTTTCCTCCGGAGCCTAGCGAAACTCAACTCTAGCCTTAGAAGAACCCATTCCTTAACGACATTCAAAAATCCATAATATGCATGTCTCCATGAGTCTTTGAGAACCAATGTCCCATAAAAACCCCAAAATCCAAAGGCAAAACCACCCACAATGCCAAAAAGGAACCCCTTATTTATTAGCTTATCATTTTCAGACTCTTGTTCATGTGCAACATCTGGGTTTCTACTTCCTGACTCGTCACCGGGGCATAACTTCAGCAACGGAACCCCACAAAGTGCAGGATTTCCGGCGTATGATGACATTTCGAAGCTCTGTAACTGCGTGCCCTTCGGGATTCTTCCATACAAGCTGTTGAACGACAAATCCAACACCCCAAGATTGCTCAACTGTGAAAGGCTTGTTGGGATAACGCCTACCAGGTTGTTTCTCGATATATCAAGAAAATCCAACTGTCTCAATTGACCGATGTTGTCAGGTATTGGTCCGATTAAGCTGTTTCTTGAAAGATTCAAGGCAACAAGAGCCAAAAGACTCGTGATTTCATCTGGGATTTCTCCGGTTAGTCTATTGGAAGATAAATCAAGGGTAACGACCAGACCCAATGTCTTTTGGTACTCTGATTGCTTTCCTTTCCATTGCAGTAATACTTTAAACACAACCCTAGGTCTGGTAATTAGCCTGGTTCGTTCCACCCCAATCGAATTGTACTCGATACTTGCACGTGCGGAACCTTTCTCCCTCATAGTCATCCCTGAAACGTTATTGAGGCATTTCGGTATGTTCCCGGAGATATTGTTAACAGAGAGGTCCAAAATTTGAATATTCTCGAGCTTACATAAGCTTCTAGGAATGGTTCCATGGAACCTATTCGATGGTAAGCTAAGAACAAGCAACATTGATAAGCTTTCCCCTAACCATTCTGGTATCTTCCCAGAGAGTTCATTTTCTCCAAGATCAAGAAGTCGTAGATACATGCAATTTCTCAAGGAGGATGGCAGGTCCCCTGTCAACCTATTGCCTCTCATACTCATCATATCGAGCAGTTTGAGGGCCCCCATGGAGTCAGGAACTACCCCCGTAAATCCATTGTTTTCAAGGTTTAGAATAACCAGGTTACCAAGGTTCTTCCAACAGTTTGGAAGCTCTCCAGACAGTTTGTTGTTAGATAGATCAAGGTGGGTTAAGCTAGTCAGGTTACACAAGAAAGAAATCGGCCCTGAAAACATGTTGTCGTTGAGCATTAGTGTAACACTGTCAGGAGGAAACAAGAGTAAGTTACCCGAAAAGTTATTTGAGCTCAAATCAATTATAGGTTGGTTACCATATATCAAACCCGAAACCTTGCCATGGATCTGATTTGAGGAGAGATTTAAGTAACGAATACCCGGAATCAACGACCCCCAGAACCAACTAGGGACGGAATCGTTGATTCCGGTATTAGATATATCAAGCACGGAGTAATTCTTTTGAGTTTTCAGCCATCCCGGGAAAGAACTCCCGAGTTTGCATGATGACAACGAGATGGTTTCGAGTTGAAAAGTAGCAGACCAATCGGAACCGATTTCTAAATCCAACGAATTAAACGACAGATCAAGCTATCTCAAACGAGAAAGATTAGCTACATGTGTTTCAGATATCGTTCCTTGAAAGAAATTCGAAGATGCACCCAAAGACTCGAGCTTAGAGAGAGGCTCTAACCTTTCGGCTAGAGTTCCATTTAAGAGGTTTCTTTCAAAATACAACTCCCGCAATGAAGCGAAAGTTGAAAGATCAGGGATCAATCTGTTGATTTTGGTTGTCTGCCAAATCAAGGATTGAAAGATTCGAGATTTTCTCGAATCTTCTTGGGAAAGATCCATTTAACTGATTTCCAAAAATATAGAATTCTTTCAGAGCTGTGAATATTGTGAAATCAGGCAAAGAACCGCTTAATTGATTTTGTGATAAATCAAGAACTTGTAATGACCTCTGTGGCCCTACATAGCCAGAAAGGTTGTCGAAAAAACTGGAAAGGTCTTGGTTGAGATTATTCGCATATAGGAAAAGTTCGCGTAAGTCCCTCAACTTCCTAAAGGAGCTCGGAATACCACCTTCGAGGCCGTTGTTGGTCAAATCTAGGGTTTGGAGGTTTTTAAACGTACCAAATGCTTTAGGAATGATACCAAGTAGCTTGTTGTTGGATAGATCGATATAAGTAAGGCTGCTACTAAAGTTGAATAACCATGGGTATATCATCGAGTTTGGAAGATCGTTAGAATTGATATTAAGAACTGAAAAAGAATCGGATAAGTTGGTGATCATTGATGGAGCTACCAATTTGCCAGTGGTATTCGGAAGCAAACAGTTTACAAGGTGCAACTCTACGAGGGAGGGCAATGTGATGGCGTTATTAACTAACCCAACGGACTCACTGAGGTCTATATAACTAAGATTTAGGTACTTGAGAGAGGAAAGACGAGAGAGCCAATCTGTGTTCTTAATGACCACCGATGTAGTTGCAAGATCAAGAGTTTGTAATTGGGAAAGATTTCCTAATTGATAGGGTAACATGGGTGAACTTAACTCGATCCTAGCGAGTTTGAGGTGTTGTAGTGTCTTGAGGGAACCAAGGAAGTTTGGGATACGAGTGAAACTATTTCCACTCAAATCTAAATATGTCAAAGAACTTAACGACAACAACGAAGAATCGATTTCACCTCTTAGACTAAGTAATTGTTGAAGATCTTTCGACCAAACTGCAGGAAGATCAAGCTTAATGACTTGACCCGAGTCGTTGTTGCATGCTACACCCCTCCATTGACAGCAATCTCGTGAAGTGCTAGTATTTCTCCATGTGTTTAAAATGTTGTAATCGTCCACCAGCCTGTGTTTGAATTGCAAGAGTGCCATCCGATCGCCCTCCAAACACCTTGTTTGGGCATAGTTGATGTTGCTGCATATGAAAATGAAAAGCAAATAGAGAGGGAGACGCATGATTGATGAATTTTTGTTGAAGAAGTTAAAACAAGTATTAAGTTATACTAGTAATCTGTATTTTATGATTTATTGTAATGTCAATATTTATAGAGTTATGAGCAATATTCTCTTGTACATTGTTAAGAGCGCGAGACTATAGATCTCATCCAAAATGTCAAAGGCTGCTCGCTAAAACAAAAGGGACATTACAATTTAGATCCCATTCAATCTTTTTTCTTCTTATTTTGTATGATATGTTAAATATATAATTTAATATCCGATGGCTTCTTTGAATCAATTATTGGGTCAAACATTATCAAAACGGAGTTAATGTCATGAACAAGGACAGCTTGGTGCTTTAATGGTGTGACAAATAAACATAGAGTGGGAGTCTCCAAAGAGAGAAATTAAAAAAGATCCCCTTCAAGATGAAAATTTCATTAAATGTCACTAATAATGAAACAAATTATTTTCTTTGTCCGTCATATGTTTGCATAGATCGAGAATTAAAGAACAAAGCAGACAAATGGTAGTTGATAAATACAAATTTGCTTTGACTAAAAAAAAAAAAAAAGAGAGAGAGAGAGAATTGATTATAAAAAAGGTTTGGACATAAAACAATGAAGAGCATTTTGATTCATTAAGCATTACATCAAATAAAAAACATAAATTGAAGTGATTAATGTATAAATGCAGTCCGCTTTGACAAACAATTGAACAAATACAAACAGATTAACTATCTATATTATTATCTATTGATTATAAAGGAGAAGGATTAAACATTCAGCACAAATTTGATTCATTGAAGTGGTCAAGGTCAGCCGAAAAAGAGAACTCAGTGTGAAAGACATCCAAAAAATAAAAATAGAATACGTATGCTATTTGAGCTTTAGACAATACACTTGAACAATTAACCCAAAACGGAAGTATATAACTTGATAACACACTTCCTACATGAATAATTGAAGACAGATTCCATTTTCCAGAATTCACGGTTAAACACTTGAATCATATTAAAAAAAAATGAACCCTTGCTAATATATTAACTCAAACTAGATGTAAGTAACACCACGGCATATTACTCCACCTCAGATTACAACCACGGTTACCATGCACCGCCATCACCGTCGTGCTTCCACAAGACCACAGCGTCACTACCATTTTCATAATGTTCATTTTCGATTCCTTTTTCCTTTATCTTCTTAAAGTGGCATCTACTTGTCAATAATTATAAATTGGTGTGAGACCCACAATTGCTTCTCGAAAAAATTGAAAGAAAAATGGGTGGATTGTTGTGCTTGGTTGAAGTTTTTGAATTCGCCGGAGATCAAATGTTTCCCAAGGTTTTCAGTCAGTGGTTTTGAGGTGGGTTTGCAGTCAAGGTGCTAGTGGGTTGTTTTGTTAAGTTACTTTTATTATAATTATGTAATTTATGTTTACAGATTATTTATAAAATAAATAATTATTTATAAGAAAATTATAGAAGGGAACTTATATAATTTGGTATAAATCCATTCTAAAGGGTGTTCGGTACAAAGTTTTGGGGAGCTTTTAGCTTTCGACAAAAACTCGAAAAATAAAATTGTTTGTCGGTAGAAGCTTTTAGTTTTTAATTTAAATAAAAAACTCAAAATCCAAAAATTACTTCAACGTTTAACAAAAAAACTCTTGCTTATTATAACAAAATTACTACTTTACCCTTAACAAAACTAATCAAAAGTTTTCAAACTATTTTTGTCAAACACTCATATACAATACCAATCACAGACTTTCAGCTTCCGGCCATAAGATACTTGTGGCGGGAGTACGGGCATTCTTTGACCCGACCAACCCTTCAACCTGTGGTGGGAGTATGGGCATGGGCTTGTGTGGGGGGGGGGGGGGGGGTACATGGGTCTTGTAAGTGAGTAGGTGGATAAGTGAGACATATGAAAGATGATGATAATATGGTTAATTTGATGAATTATTGTAAATAAAGAGGAGGTGAGAAGATATTTTGTATTTATAATATAACATTAAAAAAAATGGGATTTAAAATCCGTGCTTTTATCCAAAAAAAAAGGACCAATTCCCTCACAAACATAATTTAATGGAATCCAAAAAATTAATAATTATTTAATTTTGACAACCAAACACAATTTTTACCGAAATTTACATTTCAAGTACTCTAAATTCTTTCGAAATCCGTGAACCTCGCCAAAATGTTTAGGATGTAAGTGTTGAAAGGAAGATGAGATTAATGTAGCCTCAATGAGGCATCACCGGTGGGAGGGGTGAATTCTCACCAGCTTGAATAATTAATTTTCGGGTAACTTAACCCGTATTGTTTCATGCTACTTGACATGAATTCTAGTGCTATTCCAAACGAAGGTATAACATACCATTTTTTAATTTCCTTTTCTATTCGATCTCCTCTTTTTATTTTAGTATTTTAGAGTCTTTTATATATGCTATATATAGTATAATTATGAAGTGGTTTTATCCGAGGAAGGTCCTATCTTGTAACACATCTGCACATGATTCTATGCATGGCATATTAAAGCCTCACATGGTTGAGGTGTGTGTGAGGTCAAGCAAAACAGCCACCAAGTGTTTGACAAATTGTCTTCTAGGCTCTAGCTTTTCCAGATTTCTCAATCTCTCAGTGTAGAATGTTACACATATTGGCCAAACTGAAACCTCAAAAAGGGTTTCGTTTTTCCGTGCCACTTACAACTCATCTTCTTTTAAAAGCACAGGTGATGACACATTGTTTCATTCTAATTGACGTGAATTCTGGTACTAGGAATATGTC